GAGTGTCCAAAGGGGTATGTTGTACCTTGCTTCCAACTTGTTGCATATTCAAGAATACGGGCTTCCATGTGGGATTCAAATCATTCTTTATGACTTCAGTTTTGCAAACTGGAATTGAGCTCTTACTCTCAACAGTTTTTGAAATAACCAGAAAAGGGTCCTATTTCATGAATCAGAAACGCAACAAACATAATTCACACTCCTTGTACACATACCAAAAGGAAATGAATTAACATCTCAATAATGCATACAATTCGTGAGAAGAGATCCTTGTGTTCCAAGTCTGAACACCTTAATATCATCTCTGTGGTGGTCTTTGAGCTAACACACTCCTCAGCATGAACAGTAAATTTTCCACGGTGGTGTGTATGAGTAGAGCTGGTTGATTCTTCTCTATAAACTAGATCCAAGGTAAGTGACCTGTCTGATTGGGTCACTATCTGTAAGATAGAAAAGGCTAGTGATGAACATAATCTGAATTCACAAACTAAATAATTCACTTTAGATTACAAATTATATCCCTTTGCACAATTATGACGGAACGCACTCAATAGCCACATTCAGCGTATAACACTCAAATCATGTGCAAGTAAATACTCAACATGATAGCATTTTAAACTACATGCAATACCTCAGATAGTACACAAGTTACTTCACCAAGATATTGCTGTTCATCTAGCTTCAGCATCTGCATAATTTAGATTCTCCATCATTAACTAAATCTTGAGATAAATAGTTACAGCGATTTTATAAAAATCTGTTAGAATAAAAACCGACATCACGTAAACATAGAGTCCAATTGGCATTGGGCATCGAGGAACATAAGTAACAAATCTGGGGAGAAAAATGAACCAGAGTTCCAAAATTGCAACTAAAGGTTTTATATTTATTCCTCATTAAAAAGAGAGTCAAAGAGATACAATAATCTTTTCCAAATTTCTTTCAAATCTATAAGGATTATAAAAAGTATAATATTGACATAAAAATAGATTAATCAAGTTCTGATTTGGGAGTATTGGCAATACTGGATCTACTATTATGTGGCTAATAACAAATATCTAGTCAAAATTTAACTTAATTCGGCAAGCATATGTTTAGCCATAAAAATTCTCATAGATGCCTACCTTTACTCCTAGATTTTGATATTGAGTATCGACGTCATATACAAAAAACCTGTGATAAGATATCAATGCCTTGATTATCGCAGCAGCAGTAAGATATACACCTGATGAAGTAGAGATAGCAAAATGACCATATAAACTTACACCAAAGTTTGCACAACCTCAAATTGATAGGTAATCTTTAGCTTATGGATCCATTTTGGGTTTAATGAATTTTGAATTACTTCTGTGCGGTCAAGCTCTTCTAGTGTTCCGTCTCTTCCTTTTGTGTAGATTACCACCATGGGATCACTCTGAGGAAAATAAAATTTCCGACAGGAGATTTTTGGGGAAACAATGGTATCAATAGATGGCCGGGTATTGACACTACCATTAACAAATCCAAAGTAAACCAAACTAGCGAAATATGCGACTTCCGAGCGAGTAAATATGCATTAAATATTCTCAATCACTAAAAAGAGCTCCAGAAATGGTAGTAGATCAGCGACTCTTTTCACTCAGTCTAGCAATGGAAGTACTACAGCAACGTTGTAAACACAGGTATAGGGAAGCCTAATTTATTAATGTTATTCTTCCAAGGAAACAAAAGCCTATATCTTACATGAAAATCATTATCAAGATATATAGTGTTTCGACGTCCATGAAAGAGATACCGACCTGGGAGAAAACATCACGGTCCCGCAAGTTAGATGCAGAGAATGAGAGCTGCGATTAGAGAAGGAGAAGAAATAGGAGGATGAAACGAGTTAGATGGGTGTAAATTAGATGAAATTAAGAACAAGCAACAACAGAGGAAGCAAGCATGAGTAGGTGTCCAGAGAGAGAGAAAAAGCAAAGACAAGGTCGATGCAGAAGAAGAATCGGCGGAATCCGTATAGTGGAAAACTTAATACGTATACTCGAGTAGAGAATAGAACCCACATGGGAATAGCAACAGAAGAGAAAGGGAAGGGTGAAGGAAAAGCTGTGGTGTAGCCAGAAGTAATTGAAAGAAGTAGGTGTAAGCAGAAAGGGGAAGAGAACCTCGATCTGGGAATAGAGGCCACGGTAGCCCCGAGACAACAAGAAACAATCTACGGCGGTGTTGGAAGTATTATTTTGGGAGAAGGGAGTGGCACCGGCGGCAGAGCGGCCAACGGCGTCGTCGGAAAAGCAGTTGCCCATTGCCCAAAAGTAGGAGGCGAAAGTTGAGGAGGTGAGGGTAGGTGCTTGCAAAGTCCAACTCCAACTGGAGCTACAAAGGAGAGCAGAAAATATAAGAAAAAGGAAAGTATAAATTAATAATCAATAACAAATTATTTTATACTTCAATAAACACAGCTTTCGAAGTATAAGAAGTTGGTACATGCTAATCCGTAATGCTTGGTGGGGACATGGTTTTTGGCTTATTCCTGTGTAGTAATTGGGATTCCCAGGTCAACCTCGACGTGGACTTCAAACATCACCAATGGACATGAGAAGTAAAAGGGAGGCTTAATTCAAGCATCCCACTTTCCAAATTTTACTTTGTGGCTTATTCCTGAAGAGTAGGCATGGTTTCCCGGGTGCCATGCTGTATCTTCAGGCCATCTCCTCTGCTGTTGAGAAAAAAAAACCCTCGTATCTAATACCTCTATCACTCTAGTACTCAATACCATGTTTTGTTATTATCCACTACAAACTACATCTTCTTTTAACATGTTTTCACTCGAGGGTCGTTCATGTTCTTTTAGCATGTTTTTTTATCGCTGGTATGTTTTAGAAAAATTCATAGGCAATTATGTAGCACGGGATTTCTCCAAACCAAACCTACTTAACTTTTAAGTTCTTATAATTGAGTTACGGAAGAGAAATATAAGTATATTTAGTAACTATCAACTTTTCTTAAACATTTTTTAACCATCACACCCCTAGGATCACTCTCATTTGAATAGAGTCTCGATTCATTCATGTTCTTTTTCTTTATTCGAACATCACATGTCTATTAGCTTCTACTTTGTTCCTCTTTGAACTACATCGATGTGGCTCTCAAATAAATGAGAGATACATGAATGAACCGATACCACATTTAAATGAGAGTGATTATGAGGTTTGACTTAGAGTAATTCTAGGTTGAAACCAATCCCACGACAATCAAACCACCACATTCAAGCTATAACCAAATCATTCCATATCCATAAGAAGGAAACCAAACCAAGCTACAACCAAAACATCCCATATCCATAAGATTGAAACCATTCGGTATCCAAAAGAATGAACCTACTCAAGCTACAACCAAGTCATCCCATATGCAGTAAGAATTAAACCAACCCAAGCTGCAATCTCATGGAGCTTAATTCAACAATTAAGATTTAAGAACAATGTCAAGCAACAAGATGATTTCACTGCATTGTTATCCTGTTCTTTAAAGAATCCCTCATGGGAAACTTGAGCATAGGACTTTAGACTGTAGTAACTAAAAACAATTCATATAAAGTCCAATTCATCTGGATACATCCATTTGGGGTCTCGGGGTCTTTGGGAGCATTCAGATGATACAACAAGGGGTGGGGGAGTAATACAGGAAGAGGAAGAATCAAAACTGAAATACAAGGCAAGAAGGTCCGTGTCAAGCAGGAACTGCCTCAACCAGTGTGGCGAAGTAAAACTGGGTGGAGATTAGACCTCTCTTCCTAATTTTCCAGCCAACCCTCCGCAACGCGGTCTCCACGTCTGCCTCCGAGTGCAGATATGCCCTGGTTGCCTTGGAAGGTCCGGGGAACAACTCTCCCACCCTCTTCAGCAGATCATAGTAAAATGTTTTGGGCGCAAAGCTTATGATTAAACGCTTTTCAGCTAAGGATGCAAGGTGCGCAATCATGCCGTCTGCCTTGTTCTGGGGATAGTGTATCAAAACATCCAGACATACTACCGTATCATACTTCCCTTCCAAGCTCTCCAAATCCTTCACTTCAAATTTTGGCACCACGCCTCCCGCAACCTCTTCTTTTGCCTGCGCCAGTTTAATCCCACATTCAATTTCTTTTTTTTTTTTTTTGCCAACACAGAAAGCAACTATATCTCACATTCAATTTCACATACACACGGAGGGATGCGGATGCATTTTAGAACACTGGACAGATAAATTACAGTAGGAGAAAGGAAGTAGGGGAAGCAACGGTGCGCACCTTGTTTTGGGCCTCGGCGACCATAGCAGCAGAAATATCACTGGCGAAGACGATGGCACCTTCCTTGGCCAGCGGAATGGATAAGCTACCGGTTCCACAGCCAGCATCGCAGACTGTTACTCCTGTGAGTGGGCCCTCATCTTTCAACATGCCCATCACATTCTCCACCGTCTTGGAGTGACCCAACCTAATGTCTCGCTGCACCCGGTTCACATCATCAGTCTCTCCATATATTTTCTTCCACCTCTGAAACCCCGAATTGTTGAAGTATTCCTTCACCACATCCTTGTCGCCACCACCCACCTCTTCGGCCTGCAGGCGGCGACGTCTCTCCGGGTCGGTGAGAGATAGAACGGCAGCGAGCGCGGCAACCGAACCGCCGCCGATCGCTGCAATTGTTGCCCCGTCGACGACGGGGAGTTCGGTAGCTACGGCGGAGAGTGGTGGGGCAGGCGCAGGCGCATTAACATTGGGCGTTCTTGAAAATTTAACAAGCTTGAGAGGGGGTGGAGACAGGAAGAATCGAGAATTTGTGGTAGAGTCGGGGTGGAAGCAGAGTGTGGGATATGGAAATGCGGAGTGAGCCATGGTTACCGTATCCCTGCTCCGTCCGAGCGGCGGTGGCGGGAAGAGGAAGTATGTGAGACGACTACCTGTGAGGTGCGATGGGAGTGGGTAAGGCGCAGGGCCAAGCTAATCCACACAGATCTTTTCGGATTATCTCCCCCGATTTTCATGGGTCCCACGCCCACGGTGGCTCATCCGGTATTTCTGTAATATTCTCATTAATATTCTATTTATTTACTGCCCAAGGAGAACTAGATAGACGACAGGAGGGGAATGGCATGCACACTTGATTGACTCCAACCTGAAGTCCATGGATTCATTCGAACCAAACAAATATGATATATCAGAATATCTACTCTGCCTCCTAAGTATATGATCATTCAAAATGAAAACCCATCACACCGCTTCTGCAGAGACTGTCGATCCAACTACATCCATATGCCGACTCTGATACTATTAATTCTCCCCTTCCTCTTCCACCTCTTCTCACCCATTCTTCCATTTCCCTCTCCCACCTGCTTCGCCTACAATACCTCTGCCGGTCTTGTCTCCGGAAAACTCAACGTCCACCTGGTTCCTCACTCCCACGACGACGTCGGATGGTTGAAGACCGTGGATCAGTACTACGTGGGCTCTAACCATTCCATTCAGGTACCTGCCTCCTCTTTCCAATTAATTACATTCTGCCTTCTAAACTAAACACTTACAATTACCAGGGAGCTTGCGTTCAGAATGTCCTCGATTCTTTAATCCCTGCATTGTTGGCCGACAAGAACCGCAAGTTCATCTATGTCGAACAGGCATCTCCTTTTTCCTTTCTTACCATCTTCATACAAAATCACTCATTATATATATGAAAGAAAGACGCTAATTATTCACATTGCATCCTTCCGCGTAGGCCTTCTTCCAGCGTTGGTGGAGACGCCAGACCCCTTCCATCCAAACCACCGTCCGCCACCTTGTCCAATCCGGTCAACTAGAGTTCATGTACTGTCTCTTTTCCCCCACCATCATATTTACATTCTCTTGCCTGCTTTTAAGTTTTGTGTTATTTTTCCTTTTGAATTACCCAATTCTATTGAATTAAGTTATTATTATTACTTTTTTAGACAATATTTGGCATGCGTAGTCGCAGAAGACTGGTTTGGTGTTTTGAGTCAGGAAGTGAGTTTGTGTGTTTGTTGCAGAAATGGAGGGATGTGCATGCATGACGAGGCTACTGCACATTACATCGATATGATTGACCAGACAACTCTGGGCCATCGATATCTCAAACAGCAATTCAACGTAACTCCCAGAATTGGTTGGCAAATAGATCCCTTTGGACACTCTGCAGTGCAAGCCTACCTGCTAGGCGCTGAGGTATGTCCATGCTCTACAGCAACAGCTACAAATAATTCCATGTCTCTTTCTTCACTTTCCTTTTTCGCCTAGCTCGGCTTCGACTCACTTTTCTTTGCGAGAATCGACTATCAAGATAGAGCTAAGCGGAAAGTTGATAAAACTCTCGAGCTTGTCTGGCAAGCTTCCAAAACTTTTGGTTCTTCTGCACAGGTCACTCTCCTTCTTTTCCCCATCCCAGTCATTTCCCCTTCTTTCTTCGCATTTCATCTCTCCCCTCTTCAACTCGCAGATCTTCACGGGCGCCTTTCCCGAAAATTACGAACCTCCCTCCAGTAATTTTTACTTTGAAGTGGATTCTGAATCCCCCTTGGTCCAGGTAATATATCATTGTATCTGTTTGATTCGTGTGTTAAATTAAAGTCATTTTGTAGTAACTATATTTTTTCCGATTCTCAAGGATGACATCGACTTGTTCGATTATAACGTTCCTGACCGAATCAATGACTTCGTATCTGCTGCTATCGCACAAGTACGTAAAGTTTTGACTATGGACCCCCCGCCCCCCGGGTTCCGAATGACATTACAGAGTTACAAATTTCCTCGTTTTTTTTTTTTCCTTCAGGCCAACATTACTCGCACAAACCATATTATGTGGACCATGGGAACTGATTTCAATTACCAATACGCACATACATGGTTCAGGCAAATGGACAAGTTTATTCATTACGTCAATCAAGTAAGTCCAACTGGATATGTTATTTCTTGTGAATGACATCCTTTTACCTAACATTGACCGTAACCGGAAAATAAAGATCGTGGATTATAATGTAGTAACCACGTCTCACATCTATTTTCTTGTCTATTTTATTTGAGTATTGCATCCTATTCTCTGCCTCCCTCCCTCCCTTCCCTTGAAGTGATTTATTTTGTGTCAAAATTTTCTTTATGTTGAGTTTGGCCACCTGAGGAACAGATTGAAGTGCTTGACTTTCCCCATATCATGAGGATGTTATTATGCTAAATAATGCTTGTAGGATGGGCGTGTGAATGCCTTGTACTCAACGCCATCCATATACACTGATGCCAAATATGCAGCAGATGAATACTGGCCTGTCAAGACTGACGACTATTTTCCGTAAGTTGGGAATTTCAAAGTTCAAGATTAATAATTTGGTTATTTGTATGAAGTATGTTGTGTTAGGTTATGGAGCATGCTGCTTATTTATAGCTTACCCAACCATTTTATATAGTAAAGTTATATATGGTAAATGATAGATGACATACCCCTTAGGCAGTGTTTTGAAAATGTGCTTTTTGCATAGACACCAGATGATTACGTACCATATGAGCAGGCCCGAAAAAAATCCTTATACAGCCTCTTCGATTTCTCGATAGAGAAATATGACCCACAATGGTTCAAATGTATATACAAATAATTTCTTTTTTTTGTATACAAATAATTTCTTTTTTTTATACTTAGATAGTACCCATAAATCTCATGATGGGTACCCAAAGCTTCATAATGAACTTTAATAGGGGCTTCTCTTGAAGCAATAATGCATTGATCTAGTGAGCCACAAAGGACTATCTAAATTGATTCCTTTCTACTGATAAAAGCTCCAATTGAATCATAGGAATTACAAAAAAATGGTATGTATTACATACTTGAAGTCATCAATATAAACCTCTAGCCAATATTCTTCCTTGCATTTTTTCTCTCAGATTTTTTGTGTTCATCTAGATCGAGTGTGTTATTGTGGCGTCCTAACATGTTGTGTTGGTCAGATATGCAGATAGGGTCAATGCTTACTGGACTGGATATTTTACTAGTAGGCCTGCCCTTAAAGGTTATGTCAGAATGATGAGCAGTTACTACTTGGTACACTAATCTGTTTTTAACTTTTCCCATGCTGGACCTGGTTTCCAAGGATGCATTGTTTCTTTATCAGTTGCATCTACAACATAAACAGGCTGCGCGGCAATTGGAATTCTTTAAAGGAAAGAGCAAATCAGGACCTAAAACAGATTCTTTAGCAGATGCTTTGGCACTTGCTCAACATCATGATGCAATCACTGGAACCGAGAAGCAACATGTGGCTAATGATTATGCAAAAAGACTTTCAATTGGTTACAAGGAGGTAATGTGCATAAATATCTCATCAAACTATAATAGTGGTTGCTTTTGTTCCTTTGTATTCTCAAATGAACTCCCTGCTATGATGCGGCTTTTAGGCAGAAAAATTAGTTGCAACATCGCTTGCCTGCTTATCACAATTGTCTTCCACAGGCGAGTGCCAGATTCCAGCGGCAAAAATTCAACAGGCAATGTTTACGACTTTGAGCTGTATTTACTTTCTATCTGCATTAGCCCACAGCCTAAATGCTTTGGGTTTGTATTGACCAAATACCAAAATAAAGTCAACTTAAAAATAAAAAGAGTAGTTAAGTTGAGCAAGATGTATATTTTTAGTATTTAATAGATAGGTTTTGCAACTATAGCATAACAGCATCCTTTTTAACTTTCTTCCATGAACATCTTGTTAGGAATCACGATCCTCTACACTGGTATGATATTGTCCACTTTGAACATAAATTTTCATAACTTTGCTTTTGGTTTCCCCAAAAGACTTCATATCAATGGAGATGTATTCCTTACTTATAAATCCATGATCATCTCTTTAATTAGCTGATGTGGGACTCCTCATCAACAATCCTTCCCTTGAACAAAGTATACTATAGAGCCTCTTTTGAGGCCTATGGAGCCCTCAAACAGTCTTCCCTTAATTGAGGTTCGACTCCTTTCTCTGGAGCCCTAGAACAAAGTACACCCTTTGTTCGACACTTAGTCACTTTTTGACTACACCTTCGAGGCTTACAACTTTTTTGTTCGATATTTTAGAATTCTATTAGCATAGCTAAGTTAAGGGCATGACTCTGATACGATGTTAGGAATCACGACCCTCCACAATGGTATGATATTGTCCACTTTGAGCATAAGCTCTCATGACTTTGCTTTTGTTTCCCCAAAAGGCCTAATACCCAATGGAGATGTATTCCTTACCTATAAACCCATGATCATCTCCTTAATTAGCAGATGTGGGACTCCCCACCAACAATCCTCGACACATCTTTTATTTTACCCCATTGAAACTTATATCTTCTCTTTTGCTGAAACCTTGTTAGATGTACTGATTTCATTTTTTTTTTTCCCTTCTCCGTGGCCAACCGGCGATCCTTTCAGTGTCCACTTCTAAATATTAGTTATTGTCCTGCATCAGAAGTTGATCTATCAGATGGCAAAGACTTGGTGAGGGAAATGCTTTCATGATCTTTCTCTGTCATTTGTACACATGTCAAACTTGTTTGATTCAAAGACTTGACATTTGAATTTGTAATGTACGTAGGTGGTCATTGTCTATAATTCTTTGGGATGGAAGAGAGAGGATGTAATAAGAATTCCCGTGAGTGTTTTCAGTCCTTTCTACCTTTATCTGTATGTTGCAAAATTTTGGAGACAATTTCTATTGTATATGAATAATACCTACAAGAACTGATGAATTGCATGAAAATTTTGTCATTAGTCTACATCATTTAGAAGATCCAATTTAGTGTAGGGGCTCTCATGTTTTTAATATTTGATACAGGTTTTCAATGAAGATATCTTTGTCCAAGATTCAACGGGTAAAAAGGTTGAGTCACAGCTTCTACCTGTAATTGACGCCTCTTTGAGCTTCAGAGACTTCCACACTACTGCTTACGTGGGTGTATCGCCAAAAACGATCCCTACTCATTGGCTTGCATTTTCAGCAATAGTTCCACCTCTTGGTTTCAGCACTTATATCATCTCAAGTGATAAAGGAGCAGGTTAACATAAAGTTCACTGTTATGTGATGTTAATAATCATAGATTATTACTAAATGCCCTGATAGCTTTCCAACAAATGCAGCTGCCAAGTCGGGAAGACAGACCATTTACAAATCTCATCAAAATGCTACTGTAGAAGTGGGTCCAGGAAACCTGAAACTTATTTATACTGCACATGATGGAAAACTTGCCCGGTATATTAATACCAGAACTTCGGTATGTCACTTGATCTAGGGAATAAAATACTCGTTGACATGTTAGATATTTCTATGGATTGGATGGTCCATATATATTTGGGGTTAATCAATATTTCTAGTATCATGAAAAAAATATCATAAAATATTTAAAATGTCAGCAAAATATTTCCAATATAAGTTTAAGTACTAGCTTGTAACCTATATACGAGGTGTAGAAGACTTGTTAATTGGAATAATTTTGATTTTTTTTTATATTATATTTTCAGGAATATCTATGGACATTGAAATTTCCAGAAAGTCGACACATTGACATTTTAATCCTTTCATCACCGTAGTATTCCATGGAAATTTTTTCAAATGAAATTCTTTTAGTTTGCATATTTTCAATGGTTTATATCAGAAAATGTTTTCTTTTCCTTCTGCAGATTTGAATATATTCAGTTATCTAATTTGGCTTCAATTCATATTGAAGGTAGAAGAAGTTCTGGAGCAATCATATGGTTTCTACTCTGGAAATGATGGAAGCGTGGACTATCAGGTATGTATCTGTATGAAACCCCATGATTGTTTTGTCATTTTCCAATTCGTGTGCTGGTGAGCTTGAGCATAAACATCTGGAGGCTTATGGTGCATGAAAAGGTCTGATAGAGATGCAATTTTACTTGTCAAAGGCTTCTGGAGCATACGTGTTTCGCCCAAATCTTACATATTCCATCCGTCCTGAATGGCCGGTAAGTATAGGCAAAAGCATGAATTCTCTCCACCCGCAAACTACACTATAGATGCTATATACTGATTACCCACCTCTTTTAGATCCTAAGCAAGGGCCCTGCATTTTACATCACCACTTTGCACAGTTCATTAATGTAACGGCCCAGATCCACCACTAGTAGATATTGTCTTCTTTGGGGTTTCCCTTTCAGGCTTCCCCTCAAGGCTTTAAAACGTGTCTGCTTGAGGAAGGTTTCCACACCCTTATAAAGGGTGTTTTGTTCTCCTCCCCAACCTATGTGGGACATCACAATCCACCCCCTTCCGAGGTCCAACGTCCTTGCTGTCTCTCGTTCCTTTCTCCAATCGATGTGGGACCGCCACCAAATCCACCCCCTTTGGGGCCAGTCTCCATTACTGGCACACCGCCTCGTGTCTACCCCTCTTTGGGGAACAGCGAGAAGGCTGGCACATCATTCGATGTTTGGCTCTGATACCATTTGTAATGGCCCAGATTCACCACTAGCAAATATTGTCCTCTTTGGGCTTTCCCTCGAGGCTTTAAAACACGTCTGCTAGGGGAAGGTTTCCACACCCTTATAAAGGGTGTTTTGTTCTCCTCCCCAACCAACGTGGGACATCACAATTAATCTCCCTCTCATAGACTTCCTTCTTCTTGTATACATTAGTAACCGGGGGCCGATTAGAAGGCTGTGAAAAAATGATGTCAATTTGCAGGTTCTTACGACTGTTTTGCGGGGACCACTACTTGATGAAGTTCATCAGAAAATCAATTCCTGGATATATCAGGTAAGTATTTATGTAGAACATGAATTATGGAATTTTAATCTTATAAACCTCAACAATCTTCAGCTTGAACAAAGTACTATTTGTTGACACTGTGACTACATTTTCAAGGCTCACACTTTATTTGACACTTAAAGATTCTATTGACATTGGCTAAGTTAAGGGCATGTGTTTGATACCATGAACCACGGACCTCTAAAAGGCCTCGTATTAGTGATCTTCCCTTTAATTAGCCAGGGACAATCTTCAACAACTTTCTTTAGTTATTGTACGAGCATTTTGTAAGACTCTATTTGGGCTTATGTGGTCATATTAAATATTGGGTCAGAATTGAAAAAATGGATTTTTGTATGACATTCAAAATCTTGGTTTTTCACATTACTGATTAAGAGGAATATAAACTGCTTAAAATGCTGAAATGAATTTGCCTTTCAAGTTGTGGGCGGTGAGTTGACAAATAAAAAGGGTGAGCTAAAAATTCCATGCAGTTAGGAGAAAGCTAGTTCTGCAAAAACCTTCCTTCCACCTGTATATGACCATTTTTTTTGGTTCTATCTTTATTTTTTATGCCCAAGGAATTTACCATCTCTCTCTCTGTCTCATCTCTAAACAGCAAGTTATTTGTCAAGGAATTCTATGTTGACTCCGCAGCCATTAATTAGGATAATAATCTTGTAAAGCCAACAGATGATAGAAGGAAAGATGCTTCCGTTATGACTTCACATTTATATCAACTATTACAGGTTACCAGGGTTTATAAGGGAAGGGAGCATGCTGAAGTTGAATTTATTGTAAGTAGCACAAACTCACATGAGTTGGTATACATTTTCTCCACACGCACAAAAAAAAAAAAAAAAAAAAAAAAT